GACAAGAATTACAACTCCTGCATTTTTTTTTCTTTTTTGCTCTCCATTTGCTTGATAAATCTTCCTCCATCCCTTTATTTTGAGCCTTTGTGTATCCTTGCATGTGAGATGGGTTTCCTGGATACAGCACACCGATAGGTTTTGGTTTTTTATCCAATTTGCCAGTCTGTGTCTTTTGATTGGTGCATTTAGTCCATTTACATTTAGGGTTAATATTGTTATGTGTGAATGTGATACTGCCATTTTGATGTTAGCTGGCTGTTTTGCCCGTTAGTTGATGTAGATTCTTCATTTTGTTTATGCTCTTTACCATTTGGTATGTTTTTGAAATGGCTGGTACTGGTTGTTCCTTTCTATGTGTAGTGCCTCCTTTAGGAGCTCTTGTAAAGCAGGCCTGGTGGTGACAAAATCTATGAATACTTCCTTGTTTGCAAAGGGTTTCATTTTTCCTTCACTTATGAAGCTCAGTTTGGCTGGATATGAAATTCTGGATTGAAAGTTCTTTTCTTTAAGGATGTTGAATATTGGCCCCCACTCTCTTCTGGCTTGTAGAGTTTCTGCCGAGAGATCTGCTGTGAGTCTGATGGGCTTCCCTTTGTGGGTGACCCGACCTTTCTCTCAGGCTGCCCTTAGCATTTTCTTCTTCATTTCAACCCTGGTGAATCTGACAATTATGTGCCTTGGGGTTGCTCTTCTTGCGGAATATCTTTGTGGTGTTCTCTGTATTTCCTGGACTTGAATATTGGCCTGCTTGCTAGGTTGGGGAAATTTTCCTGGAAAATATACTGAAGAGTATTTTCCAGCTTGGATTCATTCTCTTCGTCACATTCAGGTACATCTATCAAACGTAGGTTAGGTCTCTTCACATAGTCCCACATTTCTTGGAGACTTGTTCATTCCTTTTTGTGCTTTTTTTCTCTAATGTTGGCTTCTCGTTTTATTTCATTGAGTTGATCTTTGACTTCTGATATCCTTTCTTCTGCTTGGTCAATTCGGCTGTTGAAACTTGTGCATGCTTCGCGAAGTTCTCGTGTTGTGTTTTTCAGCTCCCTCAATTCACTCATATTCCTCTCTACGTTATCCATTCTTGTTATCATTTCCTCAAATCTTTTTTCAAGGTTCTTAGTTCCTTTGCATTGATTTAGAACGTGTTCTTTTAGCTCACGGAAGTTTCTCATTACCCACCTTCTGAAGTCTGATTCTGTCATTTCATCACACTCATTCTCCGTGTAGCTTTGTTCCCTTGCTGGTGAGGAGTTTTGGTCCTTTGTAGGAGAGGTGTTCTGGTTTCAAGTCTTTTCCTCCTTTTTGCACTGGTTTCTTCCCACCTTTGTGGATTTATCCACCTGTTGTCTTTGCAGTTGCTGATTTCCCGATTGTGTCTCTGAGTGGATGTCCAGATTGTTGATGATGAAGTATTTCTGTTTCTTAGTTTTCCTTCTAACAGTCTGGCCCCTCTGCTGTTAGACTGCTGAGGTCCACTCCAGGCTCTGCTTGCCTGGGGAACTCCTGTAGCAGCTGCGGAACCGTGAGGGTTCCTACCAGATTCTTCTTCTGCTATCTTTGTCCTGGGTGCTGCTTGAGGAGACAGTCTGTACTTTATTAGAGCTCAAGTGCTGAGCTGTGAGCTCCATTGTTCATTCAGGGCTGCTAGGTAAGTACGTTTAAGTCTGCTGCAGCAGAACTTATAAAGCCCCCTCCTTTTTTTTTTCCTCAGTTGCTGTCCCGGGGAGTTAGGGCTTTATTTATTAGTATTCATTGCACTTTTCTGCGCGGTGAGGAGGCAGTCTAGTCACCACCTGCCTGTAGTGGCTATGCTGAGCTGCCGTGGGCTCTGCCCTGTTGCCGTGGGCTCCGCCCTGCTGTTGTGGGCTCCACCCTGCTGCTGTGTGTAATTCCCTGTAGTCCTGTTTATATGGGTGTGGTTAGAACTGCAGTGGCGATGGTGGCCTGTCTCTGTAGTGGCAGACTCTCTCTGTTATGGCGGGTTGCCTCAGCAATGGCAGGCTGCGTCTACAATGGCAGAGTACCTCCATAGGGGTCACGTGCCTCGGTAATGGTGGACGCCCCTCCCCCACCGAGCTGCACTGTCCTGGGTTCAGCTGTGCTTGCTGTGAAACTCTCGACCCTGAGCGTTTCCAATTGCTGTTTTGTTTGTTTTTGTGGGGGTGGGACCCACCGAGCCTGATCACCTGGCTTCCTGCCTCAGAGCCCTTTTTTTTTTTTTTTAAGTTGAACGGTTGACTCTCTCCCAGGTGTTCCAGTCACCTGCTGCAAGGACGCCAGGATCTGTGTGATTTCCTGTGCAGTGACCCACTGCGCCATCTCAAACAAATTGCTGCCCGGGAATCTCCTGGCCTGGCTTTCTGTTTAAGTCCTGTTTAATCAGATGAATGTGCTAATCTGCCTTCCAAAATCTCCAATTGCCGGTTTAACAGGGCAACCAAACCAGTGTATTTTGTACTGAGTGCCGCTGTGCTGTGGCCCTGGCCCAAACAGCCGCACCGGCCCAAACTGCTGCACTGGCGGCCCGTGGGGCTCCTACACCTGGGAATCTCCTGGTTTGTGGGCAATAAAGATCCATCTGGAAATGCGGCATCCACTCACCCTCTGTGAATTCACTGGGAGCTACAATCCTGAGTTGGTCCTACAGCGCCATCTTCAGAAGTCCCCCGACCTTTCCTTCTTTCTTTCTCTCCTTTCATTCTTCCTTTCTTTCTTTCCTTCTTTCTTTCTGTCTCTCTCTTCTTTCTTTCTTTCTTTCTTTCTTTCTTTCTTTCTTTCTTTCTTTCTTTCTTTCTTTCTTTCTTTCTTCTTTCTTTCTCCCTCCCTCCCTCCCTCCCTCCCTCCCTTCCTTCCTTCCTTCCTTCCTTTTTTTTTATTTTTTTATTTAGATAGAGTCTTGCTCTTGTCACCTGGGCTGGAGTGCAGTGGCATGATCTCAGCTCACTGCAACCTCCAACTCCCAGGTTTAAGTGATTCTCCTGCCTCAGCCTCCCAAATAACTGGAATTACAGATGTCCACCACCAAGCCCTGCTAATTTTTTTTGGTATTTTTAGTAGAGACAGGCTTTCACCATATTGGCCAGGCTGGTCTCAAACTCCTGACCTTAGGTAATCCACCTGCCTTGGCCTCCCAGGGTGCTGGGATTATAGGCATGAGCCAGCACACCTGGCTGGAGACCTTTTCAAAGCAACTTACTCCATTAAGCTGTTAGAGTAGTCCTGAGCCGAGCTAGAGAGGACCTGTTATAAGCAATGGGAGAAATTCCAGGAAATAAGTATTGAGCAGTATTGAAAGGCATTTTTTATGCACAGTAGACTGGTACCATCTGGTAGAACTTTTGCAGTGATAACATTGTTCTGTATCTGTGCTGTCCAGTTTGGTAGCCACTAGCCTCACATGGCTATCGAGCCCTTGCAATGTGACTAGGATGACTGAGGAACTGAATTTTCACAGCAACATAATTTCAATTCATTAAAATTTGAGTTTACACAGTTACACATGCTAGTGGCTACCACATTGGACAGTGTAGCGATAGTCTGTTACTGGTGGCTAACTCTGGAAGCAGAGAGGAAGTCAGTAAAGGTGGGGGCAGTGCAGGAAAGCTCTGCCTTACATACATGTGTGTCAACTGAGCCTTTGGTAAGGGTGTGTTACTTTCATAATTTCAAAACCATAAAAATTTTTCAGCAAATACATGTGCCTTTATTTTCAGAGAGAACATAGAAAGTTGGAGAGGATTTTAGATTTTTAATCCAATACCTGCATCTTTTTCAGGGAGCATCTGAAGTCCAGGGAGGGAAGGGATTAGCCTAGTGAGTGACAGACAGATTGGGACCCAGGTACAGTACCATGCTGTTTTGGTTAATGTAGACTTGTAATATAGTTTGAAGTCAGGTAGCATGCCTCCAGCTTTGTTCTTTTTGCTTAAGATTGTCTTGGCTATGCAAGCTCTTTTTTGGTTCCATATGAAATTTAAAGTAGTTTTTTTTCTAATTCTGTAAAGAAAATCAATGGTAGCTTTATGGGAATAGCATTGAATATATAAATTACTCTGGGCATTATGGCCATTTTCAAGATATTGATTCTTCCTATCCATGAGCATGGAATGTTTTTCCATTCGTTTGTGTCCTCTCTTATTTCCTTGAGCAGTGGTTTGTAGTTCTCCTTGAAGAGGTCCATCACATCTCTTATAAGTTGTATTCTTAGGTATTTTATTCTCTTTGTAGCAATTGTGAAGAGGAGTTTGCTCATTATTTGGCTCTCTGTTTGTAGGAATGCTTGTGATTTTTCTACATTGATTTTGTACCTGAGACTTTGCTAAAGTTGCTTATCAGCTTAAGGAGTTTTTGGGCTGAGATGATTGGGTTTTCTAAATGTAACATCATGCCATCTGCAAACTGATAATTTGACTTCCTCTTTTCCAGTTCGAATATCCTTTATTCCTTTCTTTTGCCTGATTGCCCTGGCCAGAACTTCTAATACTTTGTTGAACAGGAGTGGTGAGAGGGGGCATCCTTGTCTTGTGCTGGTTTTCAAAGGGAATGCTTCCAGCTTTTGCCCATTTAGTATGATATTGGCTGTGGGTTTGTCACAAATAGCTCTTATTATTTTGAGATATGTTCCATCAATACCTAGTTTATTGAGTGTTTTTAGCATGAAGGGTGTTGAATTTTATCTAAGGCCTTTTCTGCATCTATTGAGATAATCATGGTTTTTGTCACTGGTTCTGTTTATGGATTAATTAGATTTATTGATTTGTGTATGTTGAACCAGCCTTGCTTCCCAGGGATGAAGCCAACTTGATCTTGGTGGATAAGCTTTTTAATGTGCTGCTGGATTTGGTTTGCTAGTATTTTATTGAGAATTTTTGCATCGATGTTCATCAGGGATATTGGTCTAAAATTTTCCCTTTTTTTTGTTGTATTTCTTCCAGGTTTTATTATCAGGATGATGCTGGCCTCATATAATGAGTTAGGTATGAGTCCTTCTTTTTCTATTGCTTGGAATAGTATTAGGAGGAATGGTACCAGCTGCTCTTTGTACCTCTGGTAGAATTCAGTTGTGAATCCATCTGCCCTGGGCTTTTTTTTTGGTTGGTAGGCTATTAATTACTGCCTCGGAGGTTGTGGTGGGCCGAGATCACGCCATTACACTCCAGCCTGGGTAACAAGAGTGAAACTCCATCTCAAAAAAAAAAAATTACTGCCTCAGTTTCAGAATGTGTTTCTGGTCTAATCAGGTATTCGACTTCTTCCAGGTTTAGTTTTGGGAGAGTGTGTATGTCCAGCCATTTATTCATTTCTTCTAGATTTTCTAGTTTATTTACATAGAGGTGTTTCTAGTGTTCTTTGATGGTAGTTTGTATTATTTGATGGTAGTTTGTATTTCTGTGGGATCAGTGGTGATAACCCCTTCATCATTTTTTATTGTGTCTATTTAATTCTTCTCTCTTTTCTCCATTATTAGTCTGGCTAGCAGTCTATCTATTTTGTTAGTCTTTTCAAACAACAAGTTCCTGGATTCATTGATTTTTTTGAAGGGTTTTTTTGTGTCTCTATCTTCTTTAGTTCTGCCAAGATCTTAGTTATTTCTTGTCTTCTGCTGGCTTTTCAATTTGTTTGCTCTTGTTTCTCTAGGTCTTTTGTGATGTCAGGGCATTGAGTTATAGATCTTTCCCGCTTTCTCCTTTGGGCATTTAGTGCAATAATTTTTCCTCTAAACCCTGCTTTAGCTGTGTCCCAGAGATTTTGGTACATTGTGTCTTTGTCCCTTATTTCTGCCTCAATTTCATTATTTATCCAGTAGTCATTCAAGAGCAGGGTTAAGTTTCCATGTAGTTGGGCAGTTTTGGTTGAGTTTCTTGATCCTGAGTTCTAATTTGATTACACTGTAGTCTGAGAGACTGTTTGTTAAGATTGCCATTCTTCTGCATTTTCTGAAGAGTGTTTTACTTCCAATTATGTGGTCAATTTTAGAATAAGTACTATTTGGTGCTGAGAAGAATGTATATTCAGTTGACTTGGGGTGGAGAGTTGTGTAGATGTCTATTAGGTCTGCTTGGTCCAGAGCTGAGTTCAAGTCCTGAATATCTTTGTTAATTTTTTGTGTTGTTGGCCTGTGTAATATTGACAATGGGGTGTTAAAGTCTTCCAGTATTATTGTGTGGGAGTCTAAGTCTGTTTTTAGATCTCTAAGAACTTCCTTTATGAATCTGGGTGCTCCTGTATTGGGTGCATATATATTTAGGATAGTTAGCTCTTCTTGTTGCATTGATGACTTCACCATTAGGTAATGTCCTTCTTTGTCTTTTTTGATCTTTGTGGTTTTTAAAGTCTGTTTTTATCAGAGGCAAGGATTGCAACCTCTGCCTTTTTGCTTTCCATTTGCTTGGTAAATATTCCTCTATCCCTTTATTTTGAGCCTATTTGTGTCTTTGCACATGAGATAGGTCTCCTGAATACAGCTCACCAATGAGTCTTGACTCTTCATCCAATTTGCCAGTCTGTGTCTTTTAATTGGGTCATTTAGCCCATTCACATTTAAGGTTAATGTGAATTTGATCCTGTCATTATGATGCTACTTGGTTATTTTGCCCATTAGTTGATGCAATTTCTTCATAGTGATGATGGTCTTAACATTTTAGTTTTTCTTTGCAGTGGCTGGTACCAGTTGTTCTTTTGCATATTTAGTGCTTCCTTCAGGAACTCTTGTAAGGCAGGCCTGACAAGAATCCCTTAGCATTTGCTTGTCTGTAAAGGATTTTATTTCTCTTTCACTTATGAAGCTTTGTTTGGCTGGATATGCGATTCTGGGCTGAAATTCTTTTCTTTAAGAACGTTGAATATTGGCCCCCACTCTCTTCTGGCTTGTAGGGTTTCTGCAGAGAGATCTGTTGTTAGTGTGATAAGCTTCTCTTTGTGGGTAACCCGACCTTTCTCTCTGGCTGCCTTTAACATATTTTCCTTCATTTTAACCTTGGTGAATCTAAAGATCATGTGTCTTGGTGTTGCTCTTTTCAAGGAGTATCTTTATGGTGTTTTCTGTATTTCCTGAATTTGAATGTTGGCCTGTCTTGCTAGGTTGGGGAAGTTCTCCTGGATAATATCTTGAAGTGCATTTTTCAACTTGGTTCCATTCTCCCCTTCACCTTCAGGTACACCAATCAAATGTAGGTTTGGTCTTTTCACATAGTCCCATATTTATTGGAGGCTTTGTTGGTTCCTTTTTATTCTTTTTTCTCTAATCTTGACTTCATGCTTTATTTCATTAAGTTGATCTTCACTCTCTGATATCCCTTCTTCTGCTTGATTAATTTGGCTATTGATACTTGTGTATGCTTCATGAAGTTCTTGTGCCATGTTTCTCAGCTTCATCAGGTCATTTATGTTCTTCTCGAAACTGGTTATTCTAGTTAGCAATTCTTCTAACCTTTTCTCAAGGTTCTTAGCTTCCTTGCATTGGGTTAGAACATGCTCCTTTAGCTTGGAGGAGCTTGTTATTACCCACCTTCTGAAGCCTACTTCTGTCAATTCATCAAATTGATTCTCTGTCCTGTTTTGCTCCGTTGCTTGTGAGGAGTTGTGATCCTCTGAAGGAGAAGAGGTATTCTTGTTTTTGGAATTTTCAGCCTTTTTGCTCTGTTTTTTTCTTATCTTCATGGATTTATCTACCTTTGGTTTTTACTGTTGGTGACTTTTGGATGGAGTTTTTGCATGGTCATCCTTTTTGTTGATGTTGATGCTAACACTCAGGCCCCTCTTCTGCAGGTCTGCTCAAATTTGCTGGAGGGCCACTCCAGACCCTGTTTGCCTGGGTATCACCACTGAAGGCTGCAGAACAGAATAGATTGCTGTTTACTCCTTCCTCTGGAAGCTTCGTCTTAGAGGGGCACCTGCCAGATGCCAGCCAGAACTCTCCTGTATGACACATCTGTCAACCCCTACTGGGAGGTGTGTCCCAGTCATGAGGCACAGAGGTCAGGGACCCACTTGAGGAGGCAGTCTGTGTCTTAATGGAGCTCAAGCACTGTACTGGGGGATCCGCTGCTCTCTTCAGAGCTGGCAGGCAGGAATGTTTAAGTCTGCTGAAGCTGTGCCCACAGCCACCCCTTTCCCTAGGTGCTCTGTCTCAGGGAGATGGACATTTTATCTATAAGCCCCTGAGTGGGGCTGTTGCCTTTCTTTCAGAGATGCCCTACCCAGAGAGGAGAATCTAGAGAGGGAAATCTAGAGAGGCAGTCTGGCTACAGTGACTTTGTGGTGCTGTGGTGGGCTCTGCCCAGTCTAAACTTCCTGGAGCCTTTGTTTACACTGTGAGGGAAAAACCGCTTACTCAAACCTCAATAATGGTGGATGCCCCTCCCCCCACCAAGCTGGACCCTCTCAGGTTGACTTTAGACTCCTGTGCTTGCAGTGAGAATTTCAAGCTAGTGGATCTTGTCTTGCTGGGCTCCATGGGGATGGGATCCACTGACCTAGAGCACTTGGTTCCCAGGCTTCAGCGCCCTTTCCAGGTAAGTGAACAGTTCTGTTTTGCTGAAATTCCAGGCACCATTGGGGTACAAAAAAACCTCCTGCAGCAAATGGCCGCCCAGTTTTGTTTTTGAAACCCAGGGCCCTTGTGGTGTAGGCACCCAAGGGAATTTCTTGGTCTGTGGGTTGTGAAGACTGTGGGAAAAGCATTGTATTTGGGCCAGAATGTACTGTTCCTCATGGCACAGTCCTTCATGGCTTCCCTTGGCTGGGGGAGGGAGTTCTCTGACCCCTTGCACTTCCCAGGTATGGTGACGCCCCACCCTGCTTCTACTCACCCTCTGTGGGCTGCACCCACTGTCTAACCAGTCCCAATGAGATGAACCAGGCAGCTCAGTTGGAAATGCAGAAATCACCTGCTTTCTGTGTTTATTTGCTGGGAGCTGCAGACCAGAGCTGTTCCTATTTGGCCATCTTGGCTGAGAATGTCATTTTCATATTTCTTTCTACTTCGTTATAAGGCATTATTATATGACTTTTGTTAATATCGTGATGTTTCCTCTTTGTATCAAGAAATAGAGGACATATAATGATTAAGCAAAAGAAAATTAATTATTTGAACTTATTGATAAGTTAATGATACCTCTCAATTAGCAGTTTTTCTCTGTCATTTATTTTGAAGATAAAATCTTTCCCTTTGATAATAATTATAAAACACATAAAAATCAAATAGTACAAAAGATTATCCAATGAAAATTAAATCATTTTTCTACATCTGACCCTAGATGTGCCCTTCAGAGGTTAATATTATCTGCAGATATTTTGGGTGCAACCTTTCAGAATTTCATTTTTCCTTCCAGAAAACAATATTGGCTACCAGTTAGTAGCAAGTAATACTAACTCCATTGAGGTGTAGTTTGTGTGGCCAAAAGACCTGAAGAAATGCTTTGTAGTGCTAGGTTGGCTCACACTTCCAGAGCTGGAGGTAAGACCCATTGGGTTTTTGTCTCAGGCTCTGAATGCCTCTATGAATGTGGGAGCCCACTTGATATTTCTGTTTCTCTAAGCACCCTTATTCTCTCTGGTGGGCTTGCATTTGCAGCAGATGGTTGATAGTCACTCCTGGTTTTGGGAGAGTGTCTTTACTCTTTCTTTCATTGTGTTATTTTCTTTCCCTGCTGTGCAGTGTGACTGTGAATTCACGAAGAAGCTTCTGTGTGCTCCCCTTTCTCTGCTCACTTCTGTGTCTTGCAGACTTAGGATGTCTTCAGAGTGGACCTTCCTCCCAAGGGCTCTGTTTAAAATTCCACCATCTCAGTGATGTGTGAAGAACAGTCAGAGATGCTGAAAGATATGTGAAGTGTGAGAATCCTTTCAATAGTGACTTTCTCAGATCCCAGGGGACTCTAGAGGGTGGGGGTCAGGCAAAAGGAGTGCTGGCCTTCAAGAAGAGGTGAGCAGAAGGGAAGGGCTGGAGATTTGTTTGCTCAGGTGGTATGTGAGCATGACACGCAGCCGAGGGTGTCGTGGGTATATGCGACCATAGTAGTCCCTGTGGTCATTTCTGCCGATGAGTTTAGAAAGGTTCTGCGATAAGTAATTGATTGGCCAGTAAGCATTTACTAGACCATCAAAGTTTTAATACCCCAACACACCCACTATGTGAGTCTTCTCTCTAAAGTGATACTCGCAACCACCCTCCACCACATTACTGTCTGTCACTTTTTATGGCTATTGATAAATTGTTCATTCCTTGTGTGCCTGTTTGTTCTTGGTCTTCCCCACAGGCTGAGAGCTCCATAAAGGCAGGGATGTTCCTGCATCTCAAGAACATCCTCAGTGCCTGGAACACTGTGGGGGCTTAATAAAAATATTGGTTAGCTGAAAAAATAAATAAATGATCACATTTTACCAAATCATCATAATAGCAGCAATCTGTTGAGCACTTAGTATGTGCCAATCCCTGTGCTAAACACGTTTCATCTCATTTAATCCTCAAAAGCAGTCGTAGGAAGTGGGAATTGATGTCCCTATTTTACAGGTCTGGAAAACGAGCACCAGAACTGTTGAGTGCCGTCTCCAGTCACACAGCCAGTAAGTGGTAGGCTGAGATTTGAACCTGAGTCTGTCCAAGATCTTGAAATTTAACATATTAAGGTATAATTTCTAGAGCTGCCAATCTGAACAGTCACCTCAGAAAGGGGCCCTGCAAAAGAAGCAGGTTTCTGCCTTCCAGGTGAGTTGCCAGACGGTTGGGAGCAAACCAGGCACCACCTGCTCCTCTGGATTTCAGCTGGGGACACCCCCACAACCCTGTCAACATGGTTCTGGGAGGGGTTCCTCCCTGACATGGGCCCCTGGTATTTTGAGCAGTTGTGAATGATTTAGGTGTCATGGCAGACATGCTTCCTTGCATTGAATTCTAACTGAAAACTGTGCTGAAATGAAAGCCAAGAGGTACAGCAGCTACTTATTTATTTATTTACTTTCTGTTAATGAATGGGGGAGAAAAAACAACCCTGAAGCCATCAGCCAGATACTTCACCTTTTTGGCACTCTTTCTTAGCTCTCCAAATGGCACCTTAGTGCTTGTGAGTATTTTTATTTTTATGATATCATATTTTGCAAAATACCTGAGAGCCATTTTCAACACTCTGGGTACCCAGAGAGCACTCCGTTTGATCCATTTTCCTACCAGGAAGGCTTAAGTGGAGAGAAAGGAGAGGCCTAACAAGCACCCTGGGCTGAGCTAACTGCCTCCTTCTCAGCCTCTCTCCTTCTCTGGGTCCTCTCTGAGCTTCACTGCTTTCTCTCTGGCTGTTAGGCTACTGGGGAAATCAGCAGAACCTATTATTGTGAATGTATACAGCACATTATATTTTGTAAAATGACTCAGGTTCTGTTTATTAGTCGTTTCCTTTCCAAAGTAAGTCACTAAATAGGGAAGGAGAAACTGGTAACTTCCACCAGGCTTAGCTTAATGAGTTAGCCCTGGCCAGGGAAATACTTCTGAAAGGGACCAAGTATCTCTTCTTAAAGAAGGTTGGTGCTGTTGGGAGTCTGTGAGTGGGATCCTCCCACATCCCTTTTTTGAACAGCTTTATTGGGATCTAATACATGTAACATACAATTTTTCACCTAAAGTGTGTAATTCAGTGGTGGTTAGTATATTCATAGAATTGTGTGTCCATCAACATAGTCAATTTTAGGACATTTAATCCTTCCGGAAGGAAACCTGTATCTCTTATTGTCACTCCCTCCACCCTGTGCATTTCCCCGAGTCCTAGGGAAGAATTTACCTTACATTACTGTAGATTTGTTTTTCTTGGACACTTCATAGAAATGGAATGTTGCAATATGTAGTCTTTGTGACTGGCTTCTTTCATTTACATAGGGATTTCAGGGTTCACTCATGTTTAGTGTTTATCAGTATTTCATTTCTTTTTACTGCCAAATATTATTTCGTTGCATGGATGTACTACATTGGTTGATGAATTTTCAGTTGTTTCTACTTTTTGACTGCTATGAATAGTGCTGCTATGAGTATTTGTGTATGGGTTTTTATGTGGACATATGCTTTCATTTACCTAGCTAGGAGGGGAATTGCTGGGGCATGTGGTAACTCTATGTTTAACTTCTTAAGGAACTGCCAGATTGCTTTCTAAAGCAGCTGCACAATGTTACCTTACCTGCTGGCCATGCATAGGGATCCTGACGTTTCCACATCCCCATCAGTAACACTGATCTGAGTTTTTGAGTGTAGTCATCCTAGTGCATTTTGCTGGTAAAGTGGATTGGCATTGTGGTTTGGATTTGCCTTTCTCTGAAAACTTCCATCTGCATCTTGACTATACATTTTTTCTTTAGGTAGCTGGGAGGTCTTTTGGGGGTTAACATTTGAACGAGTGAGAAGACTCTCCGGAGCCCTCCTCTTCCCAAGTTGTCTTGAGACTATGGGACATCCTTCATTCTTGAACCTCTCTCATCTGTGGGGCTGGGGGACACTGTGACCAAACCACTGCCACAAACTTCACACCTTCAAAGTTGGTTTCTTGCTTTCCAGCGGCCATTTTTAATTATTATACAATCCTTATGAAAAATGAATATTTAAAGCAAATTGCTTTTGAAAGGCAGTTACAGATGTCATCCTCTGTTATATTTACAACCTAAGTCACGGAAGTTTCTAAGGTCACTAGTTTTTTTTTTTAAGACACTGTACACCAAGCCAACAGCACAGAGAATGTGTTTTCCACCTTTTCTAGGATCTCAAAGAATGAGTAGAGCCCAATCTTTGGAACTTTCTCTCGCCGTGTGTGTGTGTGTGTGTGTTTCAGTTAAACTCTATTTTGAGATAATTGTAGATTCACATGCAGTTGTAAGAAGCAATGCTGAGAGATCCCATCCTTGGAACTGTTTTGTTGTGGAAGAAAATAAAGACTTACTGAGGACTGGAAAATAACTCTGGAAGTGTGCCAGGATTCCAAACTATTTCTGTTGCCATCAGCTCCCTGCTTTTTCCCAGGATAAAGGACCACAGGATCAAACAATCAAACGAGCTGCTCCTGGGGAGTGGCTCCTTATTGACAGCAGCTGTTCAGTTTACAATTTATTTCAGCTTAAAGTATTCAAACCTAACAATGCTACCCTTCTCTTCCCTTCCCTCTTGCTAAATTGCGTCTTTTTTTGCTATGACTACGGCTGCTGCTGCTGCTATTTCATTGGACTTGAAGGAAATTGAGCCTGCCAAGGATCTCGTTTGATTTTAAACCTAACCCATATTGAAACAAAGTATTCTAAATGAGGCAAATAATGTAAATGAACTAAAGATTGTAAACTGCGTCAGCGTAGCACCTGGTATATCACCTGAGTTGGTGCTCTCATCAATTCGACACACAATCCACTGAGTATCTGCTCCGTGTTAGGCACTGCTCAAGGTGCTAGAGATACAGCTAGGGAACAAAATGCACAGAAATCCCGGTCTTCATGGAGTTTACATTCTCCCGAGGGAGGCAACAAACAGGTAAAATATAAAGTATGTCTG